GATAATTACATGCCAATGTTCACAGTAGAGTATTCACAATAGCCAAAAGGTGGAAACAACTCAAGTATCTATCATCAAATGAACAAACAAAATGTAGCATATGAATATGATGGATTATTATTCAGCCATAAAAATGACTTGAAGTTTTGTACATGCTACAATATAGATGAATTTTGAATGCATTGTGTTAAGTTAGATAAGGTAGACACAAAATTATAGGTTTTGTATATTTCCACATTTCCATTCATATGAAGTATCCATAATAGATAAATTTATAGAGATAGAAAATAAAAAATTAGAGGTTATAGGAGCTGAAGGAAGGAAAAATGTAAAGTTACTGTTTAATGGCTACAGTTTCTATTTGTGGTGATGGAAACATTTTGGAAATACATATTGGTGTGGTTGCATAACATTGTGAATATAATGAATTATACTGAACTGTACATTTTAAAGACAATTAAAATGTCAAATTTTATGTTATTTTACTACATTTCTCAAAACTAATAATTAATTACAGTAAATTAATATTACTATTACTTTTAAAAATTAAATTATATGTGTTGAAAGAATTGTATGATTTGTTAATGATAATTCAATAAGACTTTTAAAATACAAGGTGAGCAAAAGTAGGTTTAGAGTTGTTCATATGGAAGATAATACAATAATTAATAAATAATAATACAAGGTTAAACTTTGTTTTGTGTACTCACAATTATAACCTACTTTTGCCCACCCCTGTATTTATATAAAATAAAATAAACACTTATCTCAAAATCATGTTTACTATATTCAACATAGATGAGTTTTTGTTATAGTTTTTTTTATTATCTTTATTGTCCATTTACAATAATTTCAGATACTTTTTATAAACACTTTCACGTTTTTAATACTAAAAAATATCTTAGTCAATAATTTATGAAGTGAATTCCTTTAGAAGTGTACATATGCTCACTATTTTTAAATTGGAAATTCCCAACAGAATTGCCCTAGCTATGCACTGACATATTTCTCTTAAGCCCACTCAGAATTCCACTTTATGCAGTTCCTGCACATATTGGATAAAGCATGGCATTTAATAATAATTTAAGTGAATGCATAAGTTATGGGTGGAAACTGATGTGATCCATGCAGGTTTTCCTTTCCTCAACTCTAAACGTCTAAGCCAATTCCTTGCTGACTCCGAGGGATGGCTAGATTCTTTGAAACCTCAGCTCTTTCCGACCATCTGCCTATCTACAAATATAAGTTAAACGCAGCATTTTTTTAGCCTAATGCAGACTTACCATTGCACCATATAGTGTCAGAACTAGCAGAAACACATCATAATTCGTTTTTTTCCCTCATATAAGGAATCAGCATTTGAAAGTAAAATTTCTTATGTTTGAAAACCAAATTTATAAAATTGAAGAAAATAAAAAAATTATATCACAGAACTTGAAATCATAAATGTATGGAGTTGACACCAGAAATGCATTTAATAGTAGTAGTTATGGGCGATGAGTAATATTTTACTTCACAAAGAAAAGATATTAAGAATTAATCCTAACAATTCAGAGGTTTCTAATATTGGGAGACATCTTTGTATTTGGAAAAAATAAAAGTGTGAGATTGCTAATAAAGATAATTTGTAGTAGGAAGAATTAACCTTTGTTCCTCTTCCACTATCGTAACCCTTTCCTCTTTGTTAAAATTCCACATCCTTCCCCTTAACTAGCACACTTCCTTCTTTGTAGTCACTCAATCCTGCAGTTTTTTTTCCTCATTTTAATATAAAATTGCTTAAGACAAAATCCTTCCTGAAGAAAATTAGATTTAATAGCTGAATTAACAGGGCTGGAAAATGGATCAATTTACCTGACTTCAGCCTGCTAATCTTGGTCTAGGTCATCTGGGGTCCCAGCAGTCCAAAGCCAAATGTAATCACCTCATATTAAGATTTGCTGTGTTCTGAGCCTCTCTTCTATCCGGGTGGCTGCCAAGCCTGTCCCTCATTCTGGTTGCATGCCCTGCCTTTGCACCATCTGCCCTGTCTGGTCCTATGGTTTGGGTTTCCTCCTGCTTCCTTTTCATGACAAGATTACTTTTATGAGCTGCTGGTATCTGTGGCTATCCCCCTCTTTACCTACTGCTTAATTTTTCTTCTGTTTTGATTTCCCCTACCTCCATGTTAATATCTATCTCCTGTACCAGCTTTTGCTTTGACACTTTGATGCATCTCAAAGCTGCCCTTCGTTTTGTACCGTCTCAACTTTGAAAGCAACCCTTCTCATGCCCCAACCCAACCATTTCCTGAGCCTGCTGCTCTGAGAACTTACTCTGATTATTCTTGGGGGAAGAACAGGCAAGGAATCAAGCACCCCTTGTTTGATTTAATGGGGGTAATCCTAAGTATTCAGTTAATGACACTTGTTGCCCCATCGTTTAAGAGTATTCTATGATTGTTTTTTCAAAATGTAATCCACAAAAAGGCTGCTATTGCTCTCTTCATCAATAACCAAAATGTAGACACAGTGAGGGTGAACTGGTGAGATTATTGAATATTTAAGCCAATGGTATAGACACCTTGGTGGGCAGGAAGCGTGGAAGACACTGAATCCACAGGGAGAATGTATTGCCAGCCAAACACAGTTACCCAGGTTATGCTGCTGGGCTCACTCTTTTTAGCAGAGGACTATGCGGTTGGTTTGGTGGATAGAATAAGAGGTCACAAACCTGTGACAACTTATTTTCAAAAAGCACAAGAGCTTCCTCTTTACTCTCTTTTCTTTGAGGATTCAAATGTTTATTATTGCTAAATTTGTCGTCATTATACCTTGATTAGTCAAAAGTATTCATGAACATATTTTTCCTCAGGACACTGGCAGTCATTCTGGAATTGGTCTTTCATTCTCCATTATGTGTATGTGTGCATGCATATTTGTGTGCATGACTGTGATCCTTCCTCTGTCTTTAGTAGGGTGTATTTGCATATCCACTTATATATTTTTCTGTTCCTGTGATGGTCATTTTTTCTTTATCAGCCACTATTGCAAGCTAGTTGTTTTCTGATAAACCTATTGACTCTTAAATAATTAAAGTATAAAAAGAAAATGATCACTTAGGATCCCACTATATCTGAGTCAATTATGTGGATTTAGACCAATGTGTGAGATTACCAAGGACATGCACATTTGTGATTCATAAAAGGAAAATTAACAAAAATAACTCTTCAAAACACTCATACGTAACTTTTCTGTTTAAAATATTAAAGACAGTGATGCCATAAATCTTTAAGTCATGCACTGTCATGGAAAATAGTCCTCAGAATGTGAGGACTTGGCACCTTAAAGTCTCAGGGAAATCAAGGTGGCCTTTCTTATAACTTTATATTATACTAGAGGCCCAGTGCATGAAATGTGCACAGCTGGGGTCCCTACGCCTGGCTGGTGATCAGGGCTGATCAGGGCTGTCTTGCCCAGTCCTGATTGGGGCCTGGCCAATTGGGGCTGGGATGATTGGGGCCTGCTGGCCAGGGTAGGGAAAGCGGGGAGGGACTGCAGGAAGTTGATTGGCCGAAGGTAGGGAGGGACCAGGGGATGTTGGCCAGATGCAGGAGGTTGGCTGTGGGAACACACTGACCACCAAAGGGCAGCTCCTGCATTGAGCATCTGCCTCCTGGTGGTCAGTGCATGTCATAGCAACTGGTCAACTGGTTGTTCTGGTCACTCTGATCATTCAGTTGTAATGGTTGCTTAGGCATATATATATATATATATATATATATATATATATATGTATTCTTTTTAATATTTTTCCTCATATTATTTGAGAAATATTTTAAGAACTCAATTTTAAAAATCAACTTAATGCCATTTTTGTCTTTGTCTGGGTTTATTTGGATCTAGATATTCAAAGGATAAATAACTCTTGCTCTCAATAATGAGGTTGCTTTGGTGTCAGGCTAAAAAGTCTTATAGTAATACTAGAGGCCTAGTGCACAAATTCGTGCATGGATGGGGCCTGGCTGGCTTGGCCCTAGTTGGCAGATCAGGGCTAGGCCTATTGGGAGGAGGAGGCAGTGGGAGGTTGGCCAGCTGGCCTGTCCTGATTGGGGACCAATCAGGGCCAGGCTGGCTAGGGAGAGGGGCCACAGGCACTTGCTGGTGAGCCCCATCCCTGACTGGGGACAGGGGGCTGATTTGGGGCAGTGCCATCTATGGGGAGGGGCTGTGGGTGGTGGGTCAGCTGTCCCTGCCCCTAAATTGGGCCAAGGGAGGGGCTGTGGGAGGTTGGCAGACCAACCCCATTCCTGATTGGTGTATGAGGGGCCAACTGAGGACAGACTTGGCTGGGAGAAGTGGCCATGGGCCAATAGGTATGGTAGAGGCTAATCTGGGGTGGGGCTAGTTACAGAGAGGGGCTGTGGGTGGTGGGCTGGCTGGCCCCGCCCCCAAATGTGGGGGTTGATTGGGGGGGTCAGTGGCCTGGAGGAGGGGCCATCAGTGATTGGCCAGCTACGATAAAAGTGAGGGGGCCAATTGGGGGTGGAGCCAATCTGGGTGGTGCAGGCCCTTACCGGTGGGACCAGTTGGGGAAGGGGCTGCAAGAGTTTGGCTGGCTGACCCCATCCCCTATTGGGGAAGGGTCACCCCTGACTGGCCACCCAGAGAAAGGTCAAGGGGGTGGGGAGGGGGCGGAAGGTTGGCAGGCAGCCCCACCCTTGATCAGAGTGGGAAAGGTTGATCAGGGGTGGGGCTGGCTGAGGGGAGGGGCCGAGGAAGGTTGGCCGGCCAGCCCCAGCCCCTGATCTGGCAGGTTGGCTGGCCTCAGTGGGCATCCTGTCATTCCCAGGTTGTTAACGGTGTTTGGTCGCTGGCTTTTTACATATACAGATAATCATAATAATATGTATGCAGACTGGACAATGTGTCTTGCAAAAATTTCTACCTAAAAATTTACAGTGGTACATTTCAATACTTATTCTTTTCTCTTTCTTTTTTTGCAACCCCATGTGCTTTAAGGAAAACTAAAGGAAGTGTTAATTGTGCATTTGTTAATCCAGTGTATGGGAATTGGAGCAACTCAGAGAAATCAGAGGTAAGAGATGGTGGTGAACTGTATTGTTTCAGAAGCAAAAACACACCCATACACAGCACTGTTTGAACACGCTTTACTAAGAGGAACAATTTCATCTGTGGGTGGAAAGGAGTTTCAGTCTCTCAAATATGCTATGAGAATTCTCCATTCCCGGACAGTTGCAATCTACTTGTAAAATCAGTTCACCGTGAAGTGGCTGTGTGGCCACACTGCTCACACTCAGGGAACTGACAAATCTGTAAAATACCTGTTTCACCACAGAATGTTAGTCAGCGACTCACAGTAACTACTCTTATTTAAGTATTTGAATAACAGTTCAAATATGACTGTTGTTCATATTTTATTGTCAAAGACAAAAAGGAGGATAGCATTCTGTGTTCTCTTATGTAGTTGTGGACAATGAGGACCTTTACCTGAAAATTCAGAAGGTAAAGAGAGAAATACTGTATTTTCCGGCGTATAAGACGAGGCCCTAATTTTACAGTTAAAACATAGGTTTAGGCCTATATTCGCTGTATAAGACTACCCCCCATTTCCGAGGCAACACCAGTTCTTCTTTTAATAGACCACCTCTCTGACTCTGGCCAATCTGAGCAGGCTTTTTACTAGAACACAGTGTAGCTTCGGGTACAGAACATGTAAAAAGCCTGCTCAGATTGGCCAGAGTCAGAGAGGCGGTCTATTAAAAGAAGAACTGGTGTTGCCTCAGAAGTGGGGGGTAGTCTTATACAGCGAATATAGGCCTAAACCTATGTTTTAACTGTAAAATTAGGGGGTCGTCTTATACACCGGAAAATACGGTAGTGCATTACATCTTTCTTGGCCCTTTTTAGGCTACTCCTTACCAGCATAAGAAGTAGGCTAGAGAGGAAATGGCAAACAAAATCTTTCCCATCTTTTTCTTAAGTGGGTAATAAAATGGAGTTAGCCATGACACATTGCTTTCTATCTCTGAAAGCTTCCTCTCATCTGATTTTAGAAATGTATAAAATTTAATCTCCTGTCAAAATGAGCATATAAAAGTTTTAATTTTCCTCCATTATTTTTTGTGTGAAAATAGGTTATGAACAGTTTGCTACTGTTCTTGAAAATAGTAGCAAAAGTATCAGGTCAGGTGGTTTCTGGTCATTTTGAGGCTTGGTTGGTGAGGCTGAAGTCTAACACAACCTTTAACTTTTTTTGTTTTCATCAATTATGATGTCAATACACATTGTTAGTATTTTTTTGGGATGATTGAAAACAAGGAGTAAGATATTTCCCAGAGCACAGGAGATCATTACTTTGGGTGGTCTGTCTAGTCAATCAAGACATCAAGTAAAAGTGATATATATTCCTACTTAATGGGTAATAAATAAATAAGTGCATGTTAAGAAAACCAAATGTATCTTTTTGAAAAAGTAGGAAGGTATAATACAGAGTGTCCCCCAAAAATGTATGCACACTTTAATAGCTGGTAGCTCAATTTTGAAAATGAAATGGATTTTAATAAACACTGCCTTTATAATTATTCTAAGTCAGTGCATACATTTTTGGGACACCCTATATATATATATATATATATATATATATATATATATATATTCCTATTTTTATTTTTACTACAAAAAAGAAATTGTAATTTTTTTATCTTTAGCTGAGCTTAACTTTTAGTACTTGAAGGAGAAAATTATATAATAATTAAGTGTAGTGTTTTAAATTTGGTATTTTAAATATTAATATCTCATCAACTTAAAATAGTTAACTGTATGCTCGGAAGGTGTTATGCGTCCTTTACTTTGTACTGAGAAGGTGGCTTCTCTGGTGCACAGGAAGAGGTCCCTTTCAAAGACCCACCTTCCAACATGCTTTTAAGATGTTCTCTACTATGTGTACCTATGGCAGGGTGACTGATGACTCCAGCAAACCTTGGAAGCAGTTTCTTTTTATTTTATTTTCTAATAAAAATTTCCCTTTCACATTCCTTTTTCCTTCCATTACAAATGGCTAGAGAAAAAATCCCGTAATTGCTCTTGACCTTTGTTGCTATTTTTATTTCTATTTTTTTTCAGAAACAAATGCCTTTGTATTAATTAAACTGTGTTTCTTCACTGACATTATAATAGAGAAATCAATTTCTCCAAAATAGTCTTCCAAACACTCAGCGAAAATTTTCATATTCTGATACAGAAATTGTATAATGAACCGGTATATACCTGCCACCAAATTCAACCATTATCAACCCATGGTCATTCTTTTTTTCTTTTTTCTTTTTTTTTTTCTTTTTTAAATATATTTTATTGATTTTTTACAGAAGGTAGGGAGAGGGATAGAGAGTTAGAAACATCAATGAGAAACATCTATCAGCTGCCTCCTGCACACCTCCTACTGGGGATGTGCCCGCAACCAAGGTACATGTTTTTGACTGGAATCGAACCCGAGACCCGTCAGTCCACAGGCCAATGCTCTATCCACTGAGCCAAACTGGTTAGGGCCCATGGTCATTCTTGATTCACTTCTACTGCCATTTCCTCCACCCACCAGAGTGGTGGTGGCGTTTTTAGATTTTATTTTCTTTAGAGCAGTTTTAGGTTCACAGCAAAATTGAGCATGCAATACAGGGAACTCCCATATATTCCTTGCCCCCACACATGTGTAGTCTCCTCCTCTGTCAACATCCCTCACCAGAGTAACAATTGTTAGCAATTGATGAACCTACATTAACTTGTCATCATCACACAGAGTCCATAGTTTCCATTCAACCAGAATGTTTTTAAGCAAATTCCAAACGTCATTTAATTTCATCTATAAAGACTCAGATGCATATTTAAGTGATCTAACCACAGCATCTCAACGAAACATTTGACAATGTTCCTTGATACCATCAAATATTCAGTCAGTGTTCAGTCTCCCCCAGTTGTCTCATAAATAAGTAGGGGCATTTATATTTGTTGTTGTTGCTGTATATATATATTTTAAAATCAGGATCAGTATAAGATAATATGCATTCAAATTGTTAGACTTGTTTCTTAAGTCTCTTTTAATTTCTAGGTTCCATTTTCTCAATCTTATATTTTTCTTCCAATTTATTCATTAAAGAAATCAAGTTGTTTGTCCTATAGAATGTCCCAAATTTTAAATTTTCTAATATACTCTGCAAAATACAATTCTCCCAAATAAAAGCAATTGTTTGTTTCTTTTATTGTTTTGTGTAACATGTCTATTATAAATACAGCAGACTTAGAAAGACCAGCACCATAAGGAGTAGCAGCAAAGATACTGACAAGTGCATACCCCCCACCCCACCACAGGTGAGGATGAGGCAGTGGCTCCTGTGCACAGAAGACAGGCACACACTGAGACTAGACTGGTGCCAGAGGTTCAGGCAGTGTCTCCTGGGAGTGAGTGCTGGGGAATTAGGGTTGTTCCATTTATTACTCCAGTGGAAAATCATTAAAAACTTGCTATGTTCTTCATGATCTGGAAAGAAGTCTCTTATATTAATGCATAAAATTCTATTCTTTTCAATGTGTTTTTCTTTAGAGTTCTACATACTCCTTCTCCAATCCACTATATGGCACAACATCAGGAAGCCTGCAGACCGTACCTAATTATCTCAAATAGTATTGTCAAGATCAACTATCATCTAGCATGCATAGTTTATAGAAAATTCCAGTCTGTCAAATGTGATAGAAACTTATATTATGCAATAGTAAAAAATGAAAGTTTATTCAGAATACTACTGTAATTATTACCTTTAAGAATAAATATTATCACTAAATGTATTGAATGGTTTCATGGAATTTAAATCAGAACCTTATCATCATTGTATATCTGAATATCTTAATAAAATGTTCTACTTAAGTTTCTTATTTTCCTTTGATTTTATCACCGTTATTAAAATAATTAAATAATTAAATAATTCATAATTAACGTAAAGAATCAAATTGTCTCAGGTCCTTAATAATAGAAGTTTTAAAATGCTAATTTAGATTCCACAGTGCTTAGAAACAAAGGCAAACTACCTCAGCATACAAACTAGCAGGAAGGAAAATCATAGTAATCCTAATTAATGCCACTATTGTTACAGAAGACCAGAGAAAAAAACAAGCTAAGCTTAAAGAAATGCAATTACACTTTATTATTATTTTTTTAAAATATATTTTATTGATTTTTTACAGAGAGGAAGGGAGAGGGATAGAGAGCTAGAAACATTGATGAGAGAGAAACATTGATCAGCTGCCTTCTGTACACCCACTAATGGGGATATGCCTGCCACCAAGGTACATACCCTTGACTGGAATGGAACCTGGGACCTTTCAGTCCACAAGCTGATGCTCTATCCACTGAGCCAAATGGGTCAGGGCTATACTTTATTATTATTACACAAGTGGGCTCAGAGAAAAATGTCTTTCAAATTCTGGGCAAAAACATGGAGGAAGCTTTCCCTATTTATACTTTTTCCAGTTCTTTGTCTCCCACATAAGGGGTTTTCTGGTCCCCTTTGCAAGTTCTTAAAGAGCCCAATGTGCTATGGCTTTAAGACCACAACTAAAGGCCTGGCCTGGCACCAGCACTGATAACTCCATCTGGGGATAGTGTATGGCCTCTCTAAAGTGGGAGTAAACAGGCCTTGCAAACCAGACAATTAAAGGGGCAGAGATTAAACTATAAGCTAATAAGAATGTGTATTAGGTTAAAGGTACAGGTTCAGATTGCTAGACTCCCAAATGTCTCCTTTTCCCCATCATTATGAATAAAATTTATTTCTGACTTTTGAGAAAAATTTTATAAAGTATTGTCCTAAACTTTACTTTATTTGGATACTCATTTAACACATCTTAATATATAGCAAATAATCATGTTATATATTTTAAACAGATACAATGTTATATGTTAATTCTTTCTCAATAAAACTAGGAAAATATCATTCTTCACTATAAAATAATTTATTATTGAATGCTAAGAAATTTGAAAAATCTGGATAAAAATGAATGATTTTCTAGGGAAATGGTAGTTATAAAAATTGATTTGAGATGTGACAAAACATGGAGACATCAAAAAGTACTAATGGCTTCAAAAAAAATCAGTTCAAATCTTATAGAAATCAATTTCTATGTTATTTGAACTATCATGCCCTTTTCAATTATAATGCATGTATTGTACTGTTAATAAAACTGAAACATGAATGTAAAAAAGAAAAATATATAATTTTGATTATTTTTTTCTTATAAAAATTGATTCAAAAATCCCAGGTTAAATTTTAGCAACTCCCAGGCAAGCCAAGTTCTCTCTGATGGGAATTTACATCTTAAGCAAAGATACATGAGAATGGAAGATGGTTGGACCTGGAAATGCCTAGAAAGATGGAAACCCTACTCCTGTTACTATAATGTTCAAAGCAACTCTCCTTTCAAATTGTTCACACATTCTATAAGTTCTGTCTTATTTATTTATATTTTTTAACGTTGTGAGTTCCCTGAAATCTTTTCAATATATCCTTTTGTTTTCTCTAAGTTGGTCAGGGTTAATTTCTAGCAACCGAAGAAAGCCATAAATTGGGGTTTACCTTAGTCAACTGGTGCTGCAATAATAAAATATCTCAGATTTGTGGCTTAAACAACAGACCTTTATTTCACAGATCCTGTAGCTGTGAAGTCCAGGATCAAGATGTCAGCAATGTAGGTTCCAACTGAAAACCTTGTCTCTTGCTGACTCGGCCACTCACTGTGTGCTCACAGGGCCTCTTCTCCCTGGTGAGGGGAAAGAGCGGGGGCAGGAAGGGCTTATCTGGTGTTTCTTTAGAGAAGGGCATTGACCCCATATCCCATCTTCCCCGTGACCTCATCTATACCGAATTACTTTCTAAATGCTGCATTTCTAAATACTATCACATTATGGGTAGGGCTTCAATATGTGAATTTTAAAGAATACAAGCATTTCAGCCCTTAACAGTGCTGTTCTATGGGACCTGAAATGATTTCTTTTGACATTATTAGTTCATAGATAACAATGGCTATGAGAATATATTAAGGCTGAGAATATAATAGAAAAAGAATGTGAAATTCAAGTCCTAATTTAGACAATGACCTGAATGGATTAGGAAATTTATTCATTCAGGTGATTAATGATTTCTTTACTCTTATTTAACATTTAACAGGTGCATTTTGCATATTGTCCATTCATATGGATTAATTATATTAATTGAAAGTTAATTTATTTTTTTAATTGATTTCAGAGAGGAAGGAGAGAGAGATAGAAACATCAACAATGTTTATTGATTTGGGCCCAAATGGACAGTGGGACATCTCTCTCACAATCCAGGACTGCTGGCTCCCAACTGCTTGACTGCCTGCCAGCCTGATCACCCCTTAATCACTCTCCTGCCAGCCTGAGTGATATCTAACTGCTCCCCTGCCAGCCTGTTTGCCCCAACTTCCCTCCTCTGCCTGTCTGGTCACCCCTAACTACCCTCCCCAGCAGGCTTGATCTCCCCCAACTGCCCTCCCTTGCAGGCCTGGTCTCTCCCAACTGCCCTCCTCTGCTGGCCATCTTGTGAAAGAAGAGGAGAGAGAGAGAGAGAGAGAGAGAGAGAGAGAGTGAGAGAGAGAGAGAGAGAGAGAGAGAGAGAGAGACATCAGTGAGTGAGAATCATTGATCTGCTGCCTCCTACACAGCCACTTCTGGGAATGGAGCCCATAACAAAATAAACTGGTGAATAAAATAGAGTCAGAGCCATGGAAGCATGGAATAGACTGATGAATCTCAGAGCAAAGAGAAAAAGGCATTGCGGGAAGATAGTAACCAAAGATCTTGCCGATGGACACAGACAGTAGGGGGGTGAAGGCCTGGGGCAGGTTGGGAACCGGGTGGAGGGGGGCAATAGGGAAAAAGGGGGATATCTGTAATACTCTCAATAAAGATTTTAATAATATATATCATTATTTTAATAGACTTTTATAAAGCATTCTGGCATGTATGAGAACAGATTGTTAGAACAGGATGGATAAAAGCAACATTCATTAGAAACTTTTAATAATATAAACTCATAAAAGATAATTAATACTGAGTTTATAAAGTTATTAAAAGTATTTTTTAAATAAAGCATGAAGAATCACAATAAATATTTATTTGCCAAAATTTCACAGATTTGACTTAATAGAATAAAATTTCAATCCACTTAACAAATTTGTAAGTGGAATACAAAGAATTCCACTTAATTTTTACTTGCGTAGTACACATTCTGTGATGAAGATTTGGAGATATGTTATTCCTCAGGAATCAATTTTCAGTGCTTTAGTTTTGTTTCAGGTGCAAATATTCAAGGTTCTGAACTGTATTAGACTTGGAAACTAAATAAAATAAAGGTCTCAGTATTGTTCATTATTAATCTGCACAGTTTTTAAGAAATTAAAGTTATTTAATGCCAAATTAAAGCAGGCTTTTGATAAGACTCAACATTATGATCATACTAATTTCAAGAATGATAATCATTTATGTCAGTATGCCACAAATAAGAATTCATAGTAATTTTCCGGGTGCAGTAGCAGGAAATGTATTCAGTTACATGACATTAATCCTGACCCGGAAGGTAAGTAGCATAATCAAGCCTATGTATAATTATATTCTATGTCTATACACAGGTATCACATTACAGGAGAGAAAGAAAATGTTCTTCTGTCTAGACAATGTGCAATGCAATAGAGAGCTTTATAGTGACAGTGCATATAAACTATTCATACAAGTTGAGGACTCTCAAGAACAACATAGCAATAGATACAGATGTAGATAAAGATAGGTGTAGGTGTAGATGCAGATGTGGATATAGATGTATGTGTAGCTTGGTAAATATATGATAGGTAGATGATAGACCCAGAGAGAGGGAGAAAGATCATATCCTTCTGGTTAGGGTCAAATCTTGAAATCGAAGCCTAAATCCTTTCTTTGGATATCCTCTCTTCAGACTGGATTAAGAGAGCTTCACCACGGCCGTTGTAAAGAGAAGTCACTTCTCCGTACCTGCCCCGGTGAGCCACGACAGGAAGTGGTAAAGTTCTTAGGTCGCCTCCTCTATGTCCACACAGTTCTAGCCCCTTGTGTAAGCTCTGCTGCTCAAGAAGGACCTGTTGTGACTCTCAGGTGACAGATCTTTTCCCTACTAAAGAATAGTAAGGATGTATGGAGACTCTCGAGAGCAATTTCTCGCAAGATTTTTTCTTCTTTTTAATCTAAAATTGGTTATTTTACATTCTTAATAATGTGCCTTTTAGATAATTGAACCCATTTTTAATAAACTTGTACACATCTTCCTACAAAATGAATCCCCTGGAAATTTTTAAGTAGAAAAAGACCTGGGGGGATTCACTTTCTAAGGATATTTGATGAAGTACACCATACTCAGAGATTTTCTATTATAAAATGAAATAGAATAAAATATTTAACATTTTCATTTAAAATTATAAATGTTAGCAGAAGAAAGGCATGCAAAGTAGCCAGAGTGAGTGTGGAGACAAGGCAAATGAGGCATGTGTCAAGTAGGATTTTCATGATTTCTGAAAATGAATTTCAAGATTCTCAAGAGCACTAGACATTTTACTCTTAATGGACGCTTATGTGGCAGATACCCACTTGCAGTTCCCTGAAGCATTTGCATTTCTCCACACTTAAGGGGTTTGCCAGATACAAATGTGAAAATAAGCAATTTCTAATTCCAAGGACTGCCAACCCAGCCCCAACATTTCAATGCTGGATCATTTACTATTGCCACGGTAATTAAAACCAATTCTTTGAAATTGCATCACTCATTTGCTGTGCCTTATATAAACTGCAAAACCTCCTACCACGCTAAAATGCACATCCAAAAACGAG